CAGCGTGCCGCCGCTGCTGGGCGCGCGCGTCGTCGGCAAGACCTCGGCGCCCACCTATTCCCTGTACGGCCGCAGCGCGGTGGGCAGCTGCTTCGAGGACCTCAGCAAGGTGGGGCGGGCGCCGGGGGCGGGGGCCGGAGGGCGGCGGAGCGGAGGCTGGACCGCCCCTCGTTCGCCCGTAGACCCCGGGCCCGTGCGCCTACCACGTGGTGAGCCCCGCCGTCTACAAGGCCCGCGCCCCCCAGTTCACCATGCTGGCGCGCACCTCGCTGCCCCGGGACAGCACCGTGAAGCCGGGGCCCGCCGCCTACAACGTGGACCAGGTAGGGGAGAAGAGGGGGTGCCGGGGGCACAGAGTCTGGAGTCGGAGGTGGGGACCGGGCGGCGCGGGGGCCGGGCGGGGTCTGAAGTCGGAGGTGGGGACCAGGCGGGGCCAGAGGCCGGGGCGGGCCGGGTCCCTCCGAGACGACCCGCGTCTCCCGGTCCGCAGCACCGGAGGACTCACGGCTGGAGCTTTGGGATTCGGCACTCGGAGTACCTGGCCCCTTTGGTGACCGACGTGGACTGAAAACCCGCGGGGCGGGCGGGGGAGCCGGGGAGGCCCCACAGTCGTTTGCTTAAAGCTTCGGAGCCGACAGTGTCCGCCTCCTTCCTTCCGCGCGAGGCCGGGCGGGGCGGGAGGCGGGGCTCGGGCCTGGAGGGCGGGCCCGGGCGGGTGAGCGGACCGGCGGACCGGACCGGACCTGGACGAAGTTGCTTGTCCACCGCCCCGGGGGCGTCGGCGGTACGTGCGTGCGCGTCCTGGGCACGCGGGCCCCGCAGGTCCGCAAACGTCAGTCCGCGCGGGGACCGACCGGGCGGAGGAGCTCCGGTGGCCCTGTGCTCGCACGGTCTGTCTAGGGCTGGCGACACCCACGGGACCCGGCAGGGCTCCCCCGGCAGGGCTCCCCCGGCCGGCCCGCGCTGCGCGGCTCGTCTCCACCCCGTAGCCCGGGGACAGCCGGACCAGAATCCACGGCCGAAGGCGGCAGGGCTGAAGCCAACAGGTATGGGGGGCGGAGATGCCGGCCGGCCCGGAGCTAGGCAGACCCGCGTGGGAGCAGGGCGCCGATGCGCGTGGAGGCCCGGCTCGGTTCTGTGGCGGATGCCAGGTGTGTGCGGCTCCTCCGCAGGCGCAGCCATGACGTCTCCACCTGCCATCCCCGTGGTGCCTGGTAACCTCTCGGGGGCGAGGGGCCTGCGGCCTCCGGAGCCCCTGCCACCGTCCAGGCAGCTGCCGGAGCTGATCCGCAAGAAGCGGGACGGAGGCCACCTGAGTGAGGCGGACATCAGGGGCTTTGTGCGCGCGGTGGTGGACGGGAGCGCGCAGGGCGCGCAGATTGGTGCGTGTGGTAGCTGACGGCGCACGCATGGCGGACGGGTGCGCGCTGGAGGACAAGAGTGCGGGGTGGCGGACAGCATCGTGGGATGGACGGGTGCGCACGGGTGGATGGGCGCGCGCGGTGGCGGACGGACACGCGCGGTGGTGGATGGGTGCGCGCAGGGCGCAAAGATCAGTGCATGGGGAGGCTGGGCGCTCCTAATCAGACTCCGACCCGGACTCTGCCTGCCCCGAAGACCCTTGCCTCAGGGCACTCCGCCATGAGCGCTCAGGTCCGGACGCCTGTGCTACTGGACAACCTTCTAATGTGTGTCCATTAGGGGCCATGCTGATGGCCATCCGGCTGCGAGGCATGGATCCGGAGGAGACCGCTCTGCTGACCCAGGCTCTAGCCAGGTCTGGCCAGAAGCTGGAGTGGCCAGAGGCCTGGCACCCACATCTTGTGGACAAACATTCCACAGGAGGCGTGGGCGACAAGGTCAGCCTAGTCCTGGCTCCGGCCCTGGCTGCTTGTGGCTGCAAGGTGAGCCCACCATTTCTCCAGAAGCCCTGAACTGCTCACAGGTGGCCCTGAACCTCCTCTGGCTCAGAGCGCCGCAGGACAGGACCCAGTCCTACCAAACCCCTACAAACTTCAGCCCTAGGTGAGGCCCCTGGTAACAGGACACGTTCCGCTGATGGACCGCAGGCCTCCCTTGTCCTTCTGCGTCCCAGACAAGATCCCGAGAATTGGGTCCTCTCCAGATTTGTGTTGTCAGTGACGAGTGCTAGCTCCCTTCCTGTTCCTTTCTACCAGCTGGGTCCCCACTTTGATTGCTTAAAATGACTTCGCCAGCCGCTGGTGTCTCATGCCTGTAATCCTCGGGGGCTGAGATCTGAGGCTCCTGGTTTGAAGCCAGCCTGGACAGAAACCCATGAGACTCATCTCCAATTAACCACTCAAAAGTCGCAAGTGGTGCTGTTGCTCAAAGTGGTAGAGTGCTTGCTTTGAGCAAAAGAGCCTGAGTTCAAGTTCCACAACTCAGCCCCCCCCCAAAAAAATCTTAAAATTGTAAAATATTACAAATACTTTTTTTTTTTGGTCAGTCATGGGGCTTGAACTCTGGGCCTGGGCACTGTCCCTCAGCTCTTCAGCTCAAGGCGAGTGCTCTACCACTTGAGCTACAGCGCCACTTCTGGTTTTTGAGTGGTTTATTGGAAATAAGTGTCTTACTGACTTTCCTGCCCAGGCTGGCTTTGAACCACAATCCTCAGATCTCAGCCTCCCAAGTAGCTAGGATTACTGGAGTGAGTCACCAGCACCCGGCTACAAATACTTTTTAATTCCAGCTTAAGTCCTAACCAAGCAGGGGGGGGATGAGGGGGGGAATGTGGGGGCACTCAGTACTCCTGCCCACTAGGTGCCAATGATCAGCGGACGTGGTCTAGGGCACACAGGGGGAACTTTGGATAAACTGGAGTCTATTCCTGGGTTCAATGTCGTCCAGAGCCCAGAGCAGGTACAGATGGGCCACTGATTGGTCATTGATTTAGAGGGAGAGGGAAGTGCTGGCCAGAATCATTGGGGGGTTGCTGATGGGTTATTGGACTAATGAGAAGAGTGACTGGGTTGGGAAGGTGGCTCAGTGGTAGAGCACTTGCCTTGCATGCATGAGGCCCTGGGTTCAATTCCTCAGCACCACATAAGCAAAAAGAAAAAAGCCAGAAGTGGTGGTGTGGCTCAAGAGGTAGAGCGCTAGCCTTGAGCTGAAGAGCTGAGGAACAGCACCCAGGCCCAGAGTTCAGGGGTCACAACCGGTCCCCCTCCCAAAAAAAAGAGTGACTATCCAAAGATCACTGATGTAGATAGACTTGGGTCAGAACTAGAATCAACAGAACTGTGATCAGATCATTATTAGGGACTGGGTCAACATCACCAGTGGGCTGCTAATCATTAACAGGCCACATAACACTGATCAGGGTTCCTGACAGGTCAGAGGTCAGAGTTGTTGAGTACAGATCCAAATCGTCCACTGGTCAGTAATAGATTTGGGGCATTTTTAAGTCACTGGGAAATCTCTGGCCAGATGAAGCTGCTGCTGGAGCAAGTAGGCTGTTGCATTGTGGGTCAGAGTGAGAAGCTGGTTCCGGCCGATGGAGTCCTCTATGCTGCTCGAGACGTGACAGCCACTGTGGACAGCCTTCCACTCGTCACAGGTGTCCAGCCACCGACTGACCCGGGGGTACCCCTGCCTCTGGGCACGGCCATCTCCACCACAAGGGCCACCCCTCCTCACCCGGGTGTCACCCTTGGGATAATGTCGCTTCCTCCCCACCAGCCTCCATCCTCAGCAAGAAGGTCGTGGAGGGGCTGTCTGCTCTGATTGTGGATGTTAAGTTTGGTGAGGCTGCACTCTTCCCAGATCAAGAGCAGGCCAGGGAGCTGGCAAGGACGCTGGTGAGCTCCTGCAGCTGGGCCTGCCTGGCGTCCCTGCCTTGGTTCATCTAGCAGTCCCTGGGCGGTCCTGCCGGACCAGGGGACGCCTCAGGGCCTCTCTCCAGCCCTCCCCGCCTGGCCCAGCGCCTGCTTGCTGGGGGGGGGGGCGGGTTGGCGGACGTGAGGCCCCCGGGTCCGCAGGCTGAGCCGTCGGTCCGCAGGTTGGCGTCGGAGCGGCACTGGGGCTCCGGGTGGCCGCCGCCCTGACCGCCATGGACAGCCCCCTGGGCAGGAGCGTCGGCCACTCCTTGGAGGTGGAGGAAGCGCTGCTTTGCTTGGACGGTGCGGGGCCGCCGGATCTGCGGGAGCTGGTCACCGGGCTCGGTGAGGGGGGTCGGGCTGGGGTTCGGGGCTGG